TTTCACACATACAATTAAATTTTAACTCTCTTCCTCACAATTTATTTATTTCATTTTAGAGTCTACAAAATATACAAGGAATCATTTTCTAACATGAAATTTTAACTTACACGTTTAATCATCTACAAGCCTTTCAATTTAATTGCCACCTAAATGGCAATTCATGCATAGGAAATGCTCTAAGGCTCGAAACATGCTCGAATCCAGATTTTGATGAGTGGAATTGGATTTGGACTAAGGGTTAGTACATAAAAAATCCTAGTGTGGACACCCCTTTGTACATTTTTTATGTACACCAACACTTATCCTTGGACTAATGATCACCACTTTTCAAAGCATAAATTGGGTTTTTACGCCAAACTCATAGGCAAAGCATCTTAGCCCCCGTGATCTAGTACAAATTTCATGGTCAAATCTACAAGAACTAGAAAGTTATTCACAGATTCCATATTTTCTTGTTTTCATGATTCTCCATTTCACTTTACAAACAACTTTCTATTCTGTATTATCACCAGAAGGTCCAAAACTCATCAAGCAACAAATTTTTCTTCTTGTTCTATGAACAGAGACAAGATATCCTCCCTAAGACATCTTGCTCTTTTAACACAGTTTTTTACATCCAGGAGGAGAAGAAAAGAGAAGCATCTTTCAAGCCCACAACGAAAGTCTGAATTCAGTATATTATTTTTTCACAAGGCGAAGAGAAAAGGCAAAAGAAGACGACAATAACTATTTCTTCATCTTTGAAACTCAAACTATAAAATAGGGTCCCAGAATATGAATCTACTCGGATACTGTCAAACTCAAGCTGAATTCCCACAATTTCTTCGCCAACTCTGCATCACTGGCCAGTGAACTTGGTTTACCAATATTACTGTCGACAAAATACTCGCCACTCACTCCCTTCACCTGTGGATGCAATGCAACATAGCATGTTGTAGCCGCTCCCTAGACCAAATAAAGAACAAGTTTGATGAGAATAAAGTTCATAGAATCTTTGTTATAAACAAGCTGGCTCCTTTTTTTTCGTGAATTACATCTGTATACTTGCGATTACTCTCTATAATTAGTTTGTGTAACAATATCAAACTTAGGAGAATACATCTTTGGTAAGGAGTGAAAAGTATTGAAATGTTTCAAGGAAAATAAGCTAAAAATTCATGTTCTATACCCTCCAGTACGACGTACCAAACTTGCCATGAAAGGTTAAAACATACCTGTGGAATATTTTTAAGCACATATTTTGCGATCCAGCTGGCCAGACCTGTGAAAAGAAAGTGTCAAAACACATCGGCCAGATGGATTTACATGCACTTGCATATATGTGCCAAAATTAATTTCATGTTGGAGCAGGTTTCAGAATTCACAAGAGAGAACTCAGAATCTACATTTTGTGCATCTTTTTGATTTTTCAAGAACTGGAGTTTGAATCTTTTTACTCCTTAAATTAAAATTATCTAATGCTAAACAGCAAAATAATGCAAAAGACAATCCTTCAAAGGCCACCTATTAATTCTGATTCTATCCTGTTTTTCATCTTGTGGCATCAAGGTATCTTTGGGTAAGCTTAAAAGAAAAAAAAAAGTTACTTTTAAGCGATTTTCATGTTCCATGATATGTTTGGATATATTACTTTTTTCTTACTTTTAATTCAAAAGATCACTTATTTAAAAAGTAACTCGTAACCTTACAATCAAAATAAGTAAATCACTTAATTCCATTTCTAAGCAATAAACAAAGTTATTTATTTTATAACTTGAACTTTTAAGCTTAGCCAAACATGCTCAAAGAAGTTGGTCAATACGAACGACCAAAAGCCTCCAGTGTTTTAGGTTCTTGCGCCTTTAGTAGTGGGATAATATGTATGCACTCTTCAGATTATGCAAGACTTAAACTTCGAGAAACGTCCATTGGAAGCAAAATTAAGAAATCGACAACAAAGGACGAAACTAAAATATAAAACAAAAAAGCAAATTCTAAAAACAGCACAAACATGTTTGGGGAAAAAAAGGTACTTTGAAGTAAAATGCTCTAATATTATAAAATGGTCAGGAAGGCAAGAACTTTACCATCAATGAAACTGTGATGGCGCATAAGGTTAGTGGGAATTGCTCCGGGATGAAGTGAATTAGCAGTTATATCAACACCTCCTTCCTGTTGTGACAGAAATCAAATGTTACACTTCCACAAGCGTAGAATATTTAGTACAAACGGATACATCAAATGATAAGCAGGTACTTCTACCAACAAGATGCTGCTCATTAAACAGGCATAGAAGAGAATTTTCACCAATGTCTGAAAAGATTATGGCAGTTTCAAGACATTGACACCTCGGATTCTCTTACAAAATCTAACTACATAGTTTAAACCGAAAGCTGCTGTTACATGCTAAGCTTAAAAAGTTAACTTATAAGTAGATTAAAAAGTTTTCAAATAAATATTTTTTTATTGGTCAATTTTGAGAATAAGTCACTTATTTTAATATAAAAGTAAGAAATACTTTCACAATAAGTAACTCTTTCTTATTTAAAGTAAGAAAAGAAGAGTAACTTATTCAAAAATTTCTCCAGAGCTTAAAACCATCTTATTTAGCAAATTTCCTTAGTTTAAAAATAAATAAATA